AAAAAACCCAAGGCACTGCAAAGTCAATATAAAAACAATAAGCAGTATAAAAAGTGAAGAGATCATATCAGGTTAGCCGGCAAGTTGCAAATAAAAATAAATGTACAAAGGGCAGCTTTTAACTGTTACTAAATTGTTTTTTTTCCCTTTTTTTTCCCGTCATCTTCAGGATAGTGTCCCCTTGTGTCTAATAATGGTCAACAATAATGTTGCATCTTTACTTTGACAAAGTACTGCAGTAGATATCGTGAGTAATTTTGCCACCTTAGCACACTGGGAATCCTGGCCACACATCGGTCTTTGGATCCTCCCGTCTAGGCATGTTGGCACTATCTCCTTGCTGCTCATTCACGTTTGTCGGGGTTCAAGGTCTCGTCTCCATCAGAATCGCTCTCCTCCAGCCGTCCCTCCCCTCCTTCCCCACTAGCCGCTCTTTGCCTGACTCTACCATAAATCCAGCAACACGCGTGCCAACACACATACACACGCACGTAGAGACGCGTGCACATTTCCACATCACAATCAATACAAGCCTACTTGGCACTGCCAAAGCCCAAAATGAGTATCGATTATCTGTCAACGTTGCCTCTAAATTATGCAAGCGTTTAGTTTATGAGATGGTACTTTTTTGGGGGTTCCCGCTCAAGACATAGGATATGATGGTGGACTTTGACACAGGTGCAAAAACACACGTGTGAACTTATGCCGTGTTGGACCGCTGTCTCAAGGGGCAGGTGTAGTAATGTTTCGTTTCCGTCCGAGGTAATTACACAACGTGGAATGGTGCAAATATTGAAATCGATACGAAGGAGTCGTTCTAAATTGTCCTGCTGAAGTCAGGCTTTTCCTTAAGTGGCCGACATTGCACTCCAGTTATCGGCGTTTGGATTTCTGTTTGGCAAGCAAATGCTCACAGGCGCAGTTGGTCAATTAATAGGCCCAACAAAAACGAGACACTATAAAAAGTAGCTGAAAATTATTGGCTCATTGACACGTTGTGTTTGGGCTGGATACTTCCAAAGGTTCTTCGAGAATGAGATTTTACCCACAGGAACCGAATTATTTTATTTATTTTTTTTATTTATTTGTTTTTTATTAGGGTGGTGGTCGACTGGTTAGTGCGTCGGCCTCACAGTGTGGAGGTACTGGGTTCAATTCCAGCTCCGGCCTCCCTGTGTGGAGTTTGCATGTTCTCCCCGGGCCTGCGTGGGTTTTCTCCGGGTGCTCCGGTTTCCTCCCACATTCCAAAAACATGCCTGGCAAGCTGATTGAACACTTTAAATTGTCCTTAGGTGTGAGTGTGAGCGCGGATGGTTTTTGGTCTCTGGGTACCCTTGTAGCGGATAAGCATATATATATTTGTCAATCTCTGTCGGTCGAGTATTTCTCTATCTCTCTCATAATCTGCTTTCATTATCTATGACTCCGATGCCCTATCACCAACTCTTTGCAGCACACACACACACACACACACACACACACACACACACACACACACACACACACACACACACACACACACACGCACATGCACACCCACTGCTTGAAAAATTGACTGACACATACATTTCCTCGCCCCTTGCTCAAAGCTTATCTTTGAAAATGCTTAACCCCTTAACACTGAACTTAAACCTCAAATCGCTCTCTCCCCCCCCCCTCTCTCTCTCTTTTTTTCTGCACTCACACACACACAGACACAGCTTACACCTTGACATTTTTGTGTTGTCTCTGACACAACTTCTGCATCTCTTTAGCTATTTTTAGAGCCGTTTATGCTCACTTTCCTCTTTGTCCATTTCTCATCTTCCCCGCTGAAAATTCCCACACGGCACATTTGAGTGCCGTGTGTCTGATTGAATGCGTATGACAGAGAGTGATGCACTCGAAATGAGAGCGGCAGCTGTCTTTTTGGGGTGAGATGGGAAGATAGACAGAGCGCTTTATTCAAGGAAAACAAAGCATTAGTGACACCGACTCTCCACGAAGACAAGATCACACAAAGGTTTTGTTATCTCCAGCTGGGCCTACGTGTTCATCCTTCCAGATTCTTCTTTTCATCAGACTGCCACAGAGCCAAACGCATCTGAAAGAGGAAAACAGCACATTGAAGCAATCATTGATCACTAATCACAGCGCTTGATTCAATCTAATGAGCTACTTGTTCCTTCTGGGAGGCCACGTAATGAGAAAAACGGCACTGGCTGCACTCAACAGCCAAAATAATCCCCCTACTTTCAATTTGAGGAAATGAGGTACATTAGGTGTTCTAGTTCGTGGAATAATCATTTGTGTTCAATTTGAACTCTGTGCATGTGGAGCTACTAAATAGGGAATGCAGATTTTTTTTTGATATATATATTTTTTAAGAAGTAACAATGTATTTATTATTGTGGTTGTAGTTTGCACTGCACCCTACAGAGCAAACTCAATATATCAAAAATGTGTGGGAAACATAATTTCTCAATTGAAATTCAATTAAAAAAAATCAGTTGAAAAAGGAAAACTCACACGAATTAATTTTGTATCATTTGAATGATTACAGTTTATATTTAACAAAAAAAACCCCTTCAAAATCTATTATCTCAAGAAATTTGAAAAGGACGTAAGAAAGAATCCAAATGAATTTTAACATTGAAATATGAACTCATTTTACATCACATTCTAGCTTCATACAAACTCGATAAATACAAAGAAGTAAAAAGTTATTTCAAATATGTACGCATTCCTGCACATATGCTTTTAACCCGACTTGATTGTGCAACAATAACTTTAAATTGCTTGACATAGATTGAGAGAGGACCCGGAAGGTAAAAAAACATTCGATGAAAAACACGGCTTCTTATGATGCATTCCGGGTTGCGTAAGACTTAAACCCAAAACGTACAGCACATCGCTAAGAATGAAAATGTGAAAAATATGTCTCATATCTGTCAACATTAACTTTGTTGAGGCAGATTTTTTTTTTTTTCCGACCGGATCACATCGGAACATCCAGGTGTACCTAATGTTTCGGCCCCTGCTATTGTAATATGTACCATACTCTTGGGTCAGGGGGGGCAATCATTATCTCAATAATGCCAATTAAATACCAAGTAAATAATCCAGTCACATTTGGCAATTCGAATTTACCAGTCATTGTCTTCTCAAGTCTTACCGACTTGATCGGCAAATCTGCCTTTTAAGAGCCGCAGCGCATCCCCGGTCTGTACAATAATGGCACATCAACCCGCTAATGTTGCAGCTCGCAGGGGCCGGCGATGCACTCGAACCACTCGTCTCGCGGCCTCGCCTGAACCCCCTTTGGCTCATCAAGGAAGAACTGCTCCACTTAAACTTTGTTGCTCCCTTGTAATTGAATTAGTCTGCTCAATTATGTAGAGGCAGCCTTGTCCTCATTAGGATGGAGCTGAATGGGGAGGGATGGGGCGTGAGCGTAGACCGGAGGCAGAGAGCAGCAGCAGCAGCAGCAGCAGCAGGGTAGGAAGTGAGATCAGTTGGCAATTTTTTTTTTCTTCTCTCAACATTTCCTCCAATTGTGTCTTAAGTGGACATATCGCCAATCGAGGTAATTTAAAGCAATTTCCCTCCAATGTGACCCAAATCAGGCCCGATTATCATGTCTAGAGGATTTTCATGAATGATTATCCTGTGGGGGTGGCGCAGTGATCCAGTGGTTAGCGCATCGACCTCACAGTTCAGAGGTACCGGGTTCAATTCCAGCTCCGGTCTCCCTGTGTGGAGTTTGCATGTTCTCCCCGGGCCTGTGTGGGTTTTCTCCGGGTACTCCGGTTTCCTCCCACATTCCAAAAACATGCATGGCAGGCTGATTGAACACTCTCAATTGTCCTTAGGTGTGAATGTGAGCGCGGATGGTCGTTCGTCTGTGTGTGCCCTGCGATTGGCTGGCAACTGGTTCAGGGTGTCCCCCGTCTACCGCCCGAAAACGGCTGGGATAGGCTCCAGCACCCCCGCGACCCTTGTGAGGATAAAGCAGAACAGAAAATGGATGGAAATGGATGTATGGATTATCCTGTGGTGTGGGGTGCGATAGGAGTGTGTTTTGGGTTTTTTTTTCCGTTATACCAGTTCAATATTCATTCTGGAATATTTTCTGATTGCTGACAAATGGCTGCCAAGAAGAATGTAATTGTGGTCTCAGCAGTAGGCAGTCCTGTGATGTTCTCTCCACTCGATTTATCTTCATCACCCACAAGCCTGGCTGGGTTCATTTAGATTTTTTTTTATTTTTTAGTTTGTTTGTTTGTTTGTTTACTTTTTGAAGGCGGACAGTAGATTTTTTTTCTTTGTTTTCAGATCAGATCAGCATTAGTGAAATACTTTGCAAGGCAGTTACCATAACCCGGGGGTGTCCAAATCCTGTCCTCCAGAGCCACTATGCCGCATGGTACAGATGTTCCCCTCCTCCAACGCACCTGATTGGAACGATCGTGACCGTGACCAGGCTTCTGCAGAGTTTGCTGATGACTTGATCATTTGAATTGTTTGGGTTGGAGGAGGAAAGCATCTGAAACATGCAGGATAAAAGGGTTCTTGCTAGCTTACAATTTCACGAGCGCTACATCCATCTGAAAGACTTTTTTTTTT